AAAGCAGCTTGACACTTTCCAAAAAACTCGTTTCCTTTTAATTCTGTGCTGTTGGTTACTTCAATACTTTACTGTGGTTTTGAGACAGACATTGTTACAGAAAAAATGAATGTCTTCTGCAGGAAGGTTGGTTGTGCAAAGCGAGTGCTGTAGTGCTCAGATATAATTGCTAACATCCAATAAGGAAGTAGATTGAAATCATGTGATGTTTCAGGAGGTAATTACTTTAAATCAGTAGGAAATTGTGGAGGTTTGCACCATCTGTGAAGGAGAATGACCTAGCGGCTGATACAACAGCAGTCTTTTATCCGTTGAAAACAACATATATTTCTTCTGGGTTTTGTACTTGAGCAACTGGATAGAATTTTCAAAGCTAATTCTGAGAAAATTATAAAAGCTGGTAGAGGAATATTGTGGGGAAAGGGAACAGACAGACAAGTTTGCCAGAGATATCATACTTACTTGAGTAGTTACTTCATCAGCACTGTTTGACCAATCAAGGTTTTTCCACTTAACCCTGATTCCCCTAATTGGTTCGGATTCCCCTGCTGCCTCTCACCTTATTGTTAGGCCATTGTTCTTCAGGTGGTTACACAGATGCCTAGCTTTATGAATGACAATATCTTTTATTAGACCAACTGTACAGTTGGGGGAGATGTTCCAGTAAAGATATTACCAAAGAAATCTTGCTTCTCTTTGTACTTTGTACATGTAAATCAGTAGCATGGGGATCTGGGAATGTGGTTATGCCTTTAGACAATGTCTGGTAGGCCTGTGCGAAGCAGCAAGTATTTGGTTCAGATTTGGATTTGGCCAATTTGGAGGGACAGTGATTTGATTCAGTGATTCAAAATACTTTCCCTATTTGATTTGGCTGATTCAGATCCGGAGATTCGGCCATAGACTATACAGGCAGCAGTCCTCGACGGCGTTGGACACAGCTGCCTCCAGTTGCTAAGTCTGTTGTGGTGGGTGGAGAGGGGGAAGATCAATGCCTCCACAGCAAGGGAGGGGTTGGGGCTAGGGCTGGGACAAGCTGGGGGGGACATGGGACTCAAGGAGGGGGGCTCCTGCCACTGCACACTGCTGTGCACCATGAATCCAGGAGCTCATCTTCTGGTGGCTCCTCCATCAGCTCTCACCACTGGTCCAGGAGGGCATGGGAGTGGGTGTGTGCCCCCAGATCTGTGTGGCGTGGGCTGGGCTGGGCTGCGCTCCGGACGGGTGGTGGAAGGCACTGGGAGCAGGGGCTATACCCTCCTGCTGCTTGCCCAGCCAGGGTGGGGAGGCATGGGACGGTGCCACTGTGCTGCCTCAGACAAGCAGTGCACAGTGACAGTAGCTGCTCCAGCCTCCCCACATCTCCCAGACAAGCCACGGCTTCACCCTGGCTGGGCAAGCAGCAGCAGGGCATGGGGGCAGGTGCAGCAGGAGCTATGGGGAATTTTAGGGTGGCTGCAGCCCCCCCACAGTCCCTGCTCCACTGTGCTCTGCAGGGCGGGCAGAGCCAGGGCTATGCTCCAGGCTGTGGCTGGGCCTAGCCACCCAGAGTGCAGCCCAGGCTCCAGCTGCTGGAAGAGCAGCTCCTGGACTGGCAGAGCACAGCGATGCACAGTGGTGGGAGTCCCCTCCCTGAATCCCATGCCCCCACACCCCGGCTGGGCAGCTTGTCCCAGCCCCAGCCCCAGCCCCAGCCCCAATCCCTCCCTCACTGTGGGGGCATTGATCTGCCACCACCCACACCCCTTCCCTTCCCCCTCCGCTCACCACAACAGACTTACCAGCTGCAGACAGCTGCGTCTAGCATCAAGCACTGCTGCCTGTATAGTCTATGACCGAATCTCTCCAAATTGATTTGGAGGCTTTTGAATTGATTAGGCCCTTTTAATAGGATTCCTGATTCAATTTGGATTTGGAGATTCAGCTACTGAATTGGGCTGAATCTCCTCTGAATCCAATCGGATATGGAAGCTTCGCATAGCCCGAATGCCTAGCACATGAAGATCTTGCACCAGAAGGCCTCAGACAGGGATTGAATGTAGTGCTGAAGAGACTGACCTCAC